TAATTCACATAATAATATCAAAGTTAACAGGCACAGACGCATTAGTATCATTATTCTCCGAACACATCACGAAACTTCTAGAAAAATTCTTGTCTGAAACGAGCTGTTTATACAATTCTATTTGCAAAAAATGCTCACGCGAATGCAGATTCCTGACATACGATTACTTATATACTGTTTATTCTTCAAATGAGTCGTTTTTTTTCTTTCACAACCTTCACCGTTTCATTTTGACTGAATTGTCATGCTTTTTTTTCATTCTTTTCAAATATTGCCTTCAGTTTTTTTATTTATACTGTGCGCTGAAATAATAATCATAGCACAATTGTATCGAAGCCAACAAAACTTTGTCAACCGTCCACAGTTGTTTCGCACACACATGTAGAATTAACAAAATTTTCGTTTTCACTCTTTTTATGTCCGTGGCCGAATATTTTTTATGACAATTTGAGTAAGAGTATAATTGTTTTTATTTCTTTTTTTATCGGCTTGACAGATTCGAAAGCCTAAGAAAAATTCATTAGGTATTTAGAAAAATCTATTGAAGTCCTGCATCATAGAATTTATTATGCGCTTGGCTTGATGCAAACTTAGTAATAGATTGCATGTCTACCAAAAAGTGTTTGCCGTACAATTGTTTCATTTTTCTTTGTTTATAAACAGTATTTCTTATCGTACATTTGTTCACCACTTTAAGACTGAATAGTCAACAGACTATGAAATCAGAAATGTCCATGGCGGCGACGGTCGCAGCAACGGCTTTCTATTTTGTTAAGCCGTCGCAGTGTGGCAGCGGCAGCGGCACTCGATTTTCTTTTTCGTCGCGGTGAAGCGCAGTAGCGGCACTTTATTATTTTTATCGGCGCGACGCGGCAGCGGTAGCTGCTATAAATTTTTTTTTCAAAACTCATGAATTCAGACATAATTTCGATGTTGGTGGATGCTGCGCTGAAAGACTTGATGAACTTAATCGGTTAGTGGCAGGAGCTTCGGTTTAAATGGCTCAGAGTTTTGAAAAACTAGATATTTTAAAAAATATCATCGTGGTAGTGGCAGGTTTTTCTAACGACGCGGCGCGGTAACTGTTTTTGAAAACCGTCACGATGCGGCAGCGACACACTCTCAGCCGGGATGGACATCTCTGTGTCAGATGCTAGTTTCAAAAGTAATAATGCACAGTTCATGCAATTGCTTCAGTCTTATTTCTAAGCCCATGAGATTAGGATATGCTTCTGTATTTCTTACATTTTCTAGTGCAGCAAAGAAAATAAGTGTAGTAAGAGGGTGTACATAATGAATGAGTTAAACACCCACACCAGTGTAAGAAATTATGTTTACATTTTAGATATATTTAAATGGTATTTCGTTAGATGATTTCACTGATTGTACTAGTATCTGTGTGAATGACGGAACCATTGATTGAACGGGAACCTGACGAAAGACCATCACGTCTCCATCGAAATAATATTTATGTCGCAATAATATCTACTACTGTTGGTGTTATAGTAGCGTCATTATTTTTCCGAAATTCTTATAGTTCACATTCAATTACTTTACAAAAAGAAAGAATAGTTAATGAAAAGATAACCCCCCTCCCCCCCACATCGTGTTTGCAGAATAATTATATAATCAATAATGAAATAGCGATACCATACTTTTCGCAAGACGTAGGACAATATTTATCCAAATTTCAATGTACTGGATCCGAAAACGATATTAAAGCATGGGAGGGACGTCTTTGTATTTTTTACAATACATGTTATAACGTTGATACCGGTCGTTTTCATTATTTTCAATCAACTCAAAGAAAAGAAAAGCCTATTTTTTATGATTCGAAAAAAGGAATGATGTATGGATTTGGTAATAACAAAGATGGTATTAAGAATTTTGTATCACTTGCATCGCGTGGAGAAGCACCATGGTCATTAATTGATGGACGATATCCATTGGAAAATTTTACAAAACTTCATAATTTACATAATCTTATGCAGAATACTTTTGGATCTGCCAATATAGGGCATGGACTATGGGAAGATCTCGGTTCAATTTCATATTCGATGGATCGAATGAGTATTACTGATCAGAATTTAGTTATCATGGATTCAACTAAGATTCCAAACACGCCCATATTCAAGGCATATCAGCAATATGTTATACCTGCGTTAACAAAAAATCCTATGGTAGAATTTGAAATTTATGTTAAATCTTTTCATACAAAACATGTATGTTTCGATCGTTTAATGGTCGGAGGTCAACTGGCTGTTTTTCCAAAACCTACAATAAAAGAAAATCATGGACGTGAAGCACTTTACTATAATTGGAGATCAAAAATAATCAAATATAATGGATTTGATCCTAATTTTGTTCCACAAAAACATCATATTATCGTAACTAATAAATCATTTTCAATGTGGGCACGTCCTGGTTCTAAAAGACATCGCGCAATTGTAAACTTAGAAGAAATTGAAAAGTTTATAAAACTAACTTATCCAACTATATCTGTTGAGGTAATTGAATGGCAAACTATACCATTTAATAAACAAATTGAAAAATTATTAAATACAACTATATTGATAACACCATGTGGTGGTGTGTCAATGATAATACCGCTGCTACCAAATGGTGCACATGCAATAGTAATGGATTATTATGTTAATGTAGCAATACATGGATTTTCGATTGGTGAAAGTGCTTCAATGGAGGGTGCTTTCTTAAATCACGTTGCTCATGTAAGAAAACAATATTATCAAATATATGGAAAACAAGATTACGAATTTGATTATCCGGGAGCTACTAACGCTCGAGAAGATGCATCTATTATTGTAAACACGACGCGTTTACAGTTACTAATTGATAAGGCTTTGGAAGAAATGGAACCTTAAGAAATATTTTAGCTATTGACAATTAACAATGTATTCTGTTTTGTTTAGTATTTTTAATAAAAAAAATTAATGTCAATTTCAATTTTTTTTCTTAGAATTGATTATATTAAGAATGTATATTCATGCTATGTGTTGACGTTAATTAATCACCGTCTTGTTTGTTGATGATATTGACGAAGTTTGATTATTTGTGAAAAATGAATCTAATAAAGTATTGATATTAAATGTAGGATGAAGCCCAATAATAATTAGTTTTTGAATATTAGCGGCAAGATGATGAGTCTCAATACCTGTAGAAATAATCGTTATATCGGAGCGATCGAGTTTTTCCCCAACAGATTGAGCAATATCAAAAAGGCTCACTGCTGTACCAGTACCGATATTAAAAATGCCGATCGCTTTTTGAAGAAAAAGCAATTGAATGGTTTCGATAATCTGTTAAACGGTAATAAAGTCTCTAGTACCATCCAAACCACGAATTTCAAGTCGAGTATCTGTAGGTGCATCTTTGATTTTTGCAATAAGCGAGGGTATGAAAAAACTTGCTGCTTGGTTGGGATCACTGTAGCTAAATATACGACCGGCACATATCGGCAAATTGTATTTACTTCGATAAACTTCAGCCCATTGATCGTCTTATGCTTTCGTTACACCGTAAGTAGAAACTGGACTTAATGGTGATGTCTCCGTTACAAATTGTTTCTGTGAAGTTGACGCAATAAAGATCCATGAACATACTTTTTTCGTAAAGTTCAAACGACAAGTTTCTAAGAGATTTAAAGTTCCAAGAATATTGACACGAAATGCTTTCAATGGATCTTTGTCGACGTCACTAGTTGGAACCATCGCAGCAAAATGTAAAAGATCATTATGTTTAGGTATATAACAAAGCCAATCGTTGACATTAGATTGATTTTTAATATCACCTTTGAATGAAACAAATTCAACGTTTTGATTGGCATGAGACCAATTTTTGAAAAGAGCACGACCAAGTTCATCCGTGCGACCAGTAACACCAATACATACAGTATTTGAATTCATTGATCAAAAAGGCTGAAATGAATATCTAAAAATGAGCAAAACTAATATATATAATGTGACAAAAATAGAAATTTCTGTTTAAAAGAGGATCTTCATCCTATTTATTGAAAAAGAAAACACTTAAACTATAACATAAACGAAAATGAAAGAAATATTCAGTTTAAGTATTCGATTATTTTGAGAAGAATAGTATTGATCAAGCTACATGTTTGTTTTTCTTATCAATAGAAGTCTTGGTAAAATTACTTAGAAATGTCGTATGAATTTGCTTAATAGAAGTCAATTCAGAGAAGATATTAGTGTTAGTTAACAGAATAGTCGCATGTTGAAATTTGAGAGAAGTATATAAAACGACGAAAATAATAGTCGCGAGAATAAAAAGTGATTTTCCAAAGGTTTTTTTTGTTTGAGAATATAACCATCCATAAAATAAGACAAATATTGTTGCAATTGACGCAGTTAAATCCAATGTTGATTGAACAAATATTTCACTAAGAATAATTAAAGCAAATTTATTAACATTATTAGCAACCATAATAGACGTCGGCGATATTAGTTTATTAAGTGCAAATGCACTAGTACTTAATGTAAATCCAAGTATACAAGAAAGGAAAACAATACAGATTGATTTAATTTTAAGGAGAAAAATAGATTGAAAATATAATAAGAAAGATTTTAACTCACGCATAACACAGGCAAGAATAAAAAGTATCAATAAAGAAATCAAATTATTATAATATGACATACTAATCGGTCCTATATCTTTCATTTCTGGCATATGAACAACCTTTTTTATATAGACTTGATATAAACTTGTACCAATAATATTCACACATAACCATATATAACCTTCAATACTAAATGTTAGATCATGTAATGCATAAACAATTGCACCAAAGAACATACCAAACAATGTACCAATTGATAGAATATCAATTTTATTACCTATAACAAAATATTCCAATATGGCAACCGATATTGTTGACAGATTACGAATAACAATTACAGTAGGTACACTGACATATTTTAATGCAAATAAACTTGTAGTAAGCATCATCACAAACAATAAAACGACAGGTGTCCAAATTTTCAAAACTGTCAAATTCAATGGTGGGATACGTTCTAAAGTAAGTGGACAAAAGTAAAAGTTAACAAGAAGAAGAATAACGGTTACACCATTTTGTAATACTAATAACAAATTGATAAATGGGAATGCAACAATTGCTAATTTATTCAATATGGTTAATAATGAACCAGAGATACAGTAGAGTAATAAAGTTAAGATTGTTTTAGTCTTAA